TCTCTGGTGAACATTGTGTTTGACCGAGTGGGAAGGAAAGATCCAGTTACTAAAGGCATGGAGATTGCTGTCCACTGGTTGGGTTTTGACATTGATGTGCAGTTCTGGTCCCAGCATATTTCCTTCTTCCTTGTGGGCTGTATTATTCTCACATCAATCAGGGGATTCATCCTAACACTCACCAGAGTAAGTTATAATCATTAGAAAGATGTATTGTACTGTAATTTAGAATTTACAGGAACCTCACTCATACAAATTCATAGTGGTTATGCCCTAAATGAGTTTTGGAACATAACTGTGTGTCTTCTTATTCAACACTTAATATTGTACTTCATATACTGTAAAGCCTCAAGTTACAATGGTAATGTGTCCTCCAATATTGCAGTGTAAGTCGAATCATCATATCGGGAATAACCCAACGAAAATCCTCCACCTTCGTTATACGGATCCACACTGAAATCCTGGGTTTTTTAAATTTATTGAAGGACCACCAGAGATAGTATCTACTCTGAAAACTTTATAATTAAATTAAGAAAATTATCACCTACTTGTTAAGATGAACTTATTTTGTATGGAAATAGTTGACTGGAGATAGTCCCTGGTTGTTATTACCTCACGCCGTCACCTAACTGTCTACACGAGACTGAAAAGTTTTAATAATATGTAATTAAGTAAATATGACAACATTATATGGGATTCTGGCAAATTATCAGCATGGACCACTAATCATGATACTCTTGTGAAATAAATAACAATTACCTTTTGTTATTTGTTCACATGCTTTGTAACGACACAGTGTGTATGTTTACTTTCGAAAGTCACTTTACCAATCCCTTATAAAGCTTCTCAGCACAACCTAACACTCACTGTTTGGCCAAACAGTATGCATATCAGGTTGAACTTATATTTTTGGACTCGAGTTGTGATGTATGATGAAAATAAGTGGAGACGTAACACCAAGTCTGGGTGCTAGTTCCTGCCAGCACTAAGGTTGCTGTGAAATTAACCCCGGAAATCTCTGATAATCGGAATTTAAATTTGTTCGGAAAATCATTCCCAAAGACGAAATTTTCAAAAAATTTACGGCTTTAGGAAAAAAAATTCCGAGGTTTTAAATCGAGAGAATTTTCTGAAAATGTCTTGGCTAAAGATGAAAGTTAAAGTATTAGGTGGGGGGGGGGGACCTGACCAGACCTGACTCAATGTCAGGTGAAGGTAAGGTGGGGGATTAGTGGCCTCATATTACTAACCTTCTGATGGAATGTCTGGTCACCCTTTAATTGGTCGGGGATTAGCAGGTCTCATGACCCGAAGATGTCTTGAATAAACACAAAACTTAAAGTATTTTTAGGGAGATTGTGATAAGTATAAGTATAAATGAGCAAAGTTGTATCCCTTCAACATTACATTACCTAACATTTTAAAATATGGAGTGAGAAAGCAGAAAGGTGTGGGTGATTAGAGAGATGGAGTGGGTGTGTGTGTGGTTGTGGAGGTGTGGGGGGTAAAAGTGACTGCGCCACACCCCTCCCCCAACAGGGTCATCTCACTGTTTGTCTAAAGTACTGCCTCATTCATGATACAATAATGTTTATTTGTTTTTCATTAATTAGTACAGATACATTACTGTAATAATCTGTGCTTAGTAATACATGTATCCTTCATATACAACACAGTATAGTACTATGTATATACCTCATAGGCAAAAAATAATGTCATTCAAGACATGTTCAGGTCACAAGACCCACTAATCCCCCACCCAACACTGGGTGACCTGATGTTGCATCAGGTCAGGTTAGTAACGTGACCCAATAATCTCCCACCCAACCTTCATCGCAAGTGTTAAAATGTGATTAGTTATGTATTACAGTCAATTGAGGAAAGTGTGTAACAGAGCCATGACCGATTGCCCAAGCGACTAACAAGCCGATCAGTGGTGAAGAGGATAAAAGTAACACAGCTCTATTCACACTCATATCATATAGAGCTTTTGTTTTTTTAAATATATTTCTTAAGCCAAACTTTTAGATAAAGTATTCAGGATTATTTGGATAGAAAAATGGTGTCTGACGAAATTAGAATTGATTTTACTGACTCCGGTATCAACATTTCTTAGTTTTTTGTTTATAAAAGAAAGGAATTCCCATCATTATATGATATAGAAATATTTCGTTTAAGGATATCTCATTAGAAATGTTTCGTAGAGAATTTATTAAGCATCATTATGGTATCAAATTCATCTCCCTATCTCAATTAGCCATGCTTAAGGGGGGGGGGGGGCTGACCATGCCACCCTGCCCCTCAAAAAGGTTCACTTCTGTTAACACACCCAACACCACCTTCACATCACACATAGACCCCTACATCACACACAAACACACCCTCCAACAACCACACACACACCCCCCAACACCACTCACTCAACCCCAGCAAGGGAATTAAGACACATCTGTGTGTGTGTGACTGCATGGTAGGGAGTTAAATATCAGCTCTTGATGAGTGCTTGGTAACACTCGATTCCACTCCATCTCTCTATTTACCCACACCTTTCTGCTTTCTCACTCCATATTTTAAAATGTTTTGTAACATAATGTTGAAGGGATACAACTTTGCTTATTTATACATATATCTGTACTTACCACAATCTCAAAAATATTTTAGGTTTTGTGTTTATTCAAGACATCTTCAGTTCATGAGACTCACTAATCCTCCACCCAAGAAAGGGTGACCTGACATTCCATCAGATCAGTAATATGAGACCGTTAATCCCCCATCCTACCTCCACCTGACATTGCATCAGGTCAGACCAGTTACACAAGACTCACTAATCCCACACAGCTCCATGGGAGTGGAAAATAACAGTCTTTGCTGTAACACACAGCTTCATTCAGGCCCATATCCTTTAGATTATTAATTTTTAAATATAGTTAACCCTCACTTTACGCGGTTAATGTAACCCGGAGGGTACCGCGGAAAGCGAGAAACGCGTTAAGTGAATAACATAACATATGGGATTAATTGAAATGGAGTCCAGGCCGATCCCCAAACTCCACTTTTTGACGACACATAACTTTGTTGTCGTAAAAATAACATCTTAATTTTATGATGGTACATGCACACAATTAATACTTAAGAGAAATAGAGAAATACAGTCGCCAAGTTAATGTCCATTCAAATAATGGACACGACTCCCTCCCCCTCTTCTCACACTACACTGCTGGCTCTTCCCTCTTTGAGAAATTTTGGGGGGAAAACCAGGTATAGTAATAAATATTACCTCAAACTAAAGTTAGGATAATATAATTGACATTGCTGGATTCCTTGTAAGACCAGGAATATTTTGAATATAAATGTCATATATTTTTCACAAAAGATAACATATTTACTCAGATTAAACATTTTATCTAAAATTTGTATGTCTAATGCAAAATATATGATGTTTATATTCAAAATGATCACCAAATTGTAAGAATTCAAGCAATGTAAATTATATTCTGGCCGGGTAATTTGTATGAATTTTATGAGCTAAAACAAATATCTTCAGTTAATAAAAAAAAAAATATTCTTCACGACACTATCTGTCAATCAAAGTACCCCACCTTGCCTTACCCCCTCTTCCAACTGTGCGGTCAGTCCCAACCCTCCCCCCACCCCCCACCAATCCTCCCTTCAAGAGATGTTGGGTGAAAAAAATAAATTTTAACATTTTGTATTAAATAATACCTCAGATTAAAGTTAGGATAATATAATTGACATTGCTGGATTCCTTGTAAAACCAGGAATATTTTGAATATAAACGTCATATATTTTGCACAAAAGATAACATACTTACTCAGAGTGAACATTTTATCTAAAAATTTTATGTCTAATGCAAAATATATGATGTTTATATTCAAAATGATCATCAAATTGTAAGAATTCCAGCAATGTAAATTATATTCTGGCCGGGTAATTTGTATGAATTTTATGAGCTAAAATAAAAATCTTCAGTTAATAAAAAAAAAAAATATTCTTCACACGGTAACAGATGGTCGGTCGCCGGTCCCTCCCTCCCTCCCCCCACCCCCCACCAACGTCCCTACTAGATAAATGTGTGGGAATACCAGACTGTTTACCTTTTTAGTAATAAATAATAAATCAGACTAAAGTTAGGATAATATAATTGACATTGCTGGATTCCTTGTAAGACCAGGAATATTTTGAATATAAATATCATATATTTTGCACAAAAGATAACATATTTACTCAAGATTAAACATTATATCTAAAATTTGTATGTCTAATGCAAAATCTATGATGTTTATATTCAAAATGATCATCAAATTGTAAGAATTCCAGCAATGTAAATTATATTCTGGCCGGATAATTTGTATGAATTTTATGAGCTAAATAAAAAAATTATAGTTCACCGTGTAAAGGGGTACACCCACCGCGGAATGTGAGCATCCTGGGTTCTGGCAGGGCACCGCGTAAACGTGGAAACGTGGAATGTGGGACCGCGTAAAGTGAGGGTTGACTGTATTATTATTTATTACAATTATTATTATTATTATTATTATTATTATTATTATTATTACTGTATTATTATTGTAATTATAATTATATTTTTGTCCCCCAGGCCCTGATGTGAGTCAGTGACCTGTGCCTGGGTGGACTAATCCCCATTAAAAAAAAACCCACTGTCATTAACGATACAATATTTTTTATTCCTTATTCATTAATAAGTAAAGCTATGTTAGTATAATAATCTGTGGTTAATTATATCTGTACCCCTCACATACATCAAGAACACACACACACACACACACACACACACACACTTATAGCAATATTTGTTAACTTGTTATTGCTGGATAAATCCATATTTTCTTCTTTTTTTTAATTTTCTCATTGCTTCTTGTTTGAGGACAAGACAAAAATGCAATAGCCATTTACTCAAATTTGAAATATTGTTTACAAACATAGTTTATTCTTATTTGACAATGATAATATCTTGAGGAACAGATTAAAAGTCAAGATGATAGGGTCAGTATTCACACTGCTTGTATCTTGACTGTTGTGGATTACTATTCACTGCTGTCATGATGTCATTGCACCACTTATGATCAAACTTTTATTACCTGAATAACTCATGGTTGTAACTTACTCTTTTAATATTTCCTATTTTCTTCATTTATAATTTTGACAAACATAAAAGGAAGTCTGGGAATACTTCCCTTAAAATTCTTGGTGATTAATAACTGAAGTTGTTTGTTGTTTTTCATTCTGTGCAATGTCTTATTGGAGTCAAGAAATTGCTTAAGCTTTCCTTGAGAAATTAATTTTATGCATAAATCAAAGATGGCTAATGAAAATATTACTTCTCTTATTATTGCAGTTCTTCTATGCAGTATCCAGCAGCAAATCTTCTAATATCATTGTGTTAGTGTTGGCACAGTTAATGGTAAGTAACCTTGGGTTACTGATTACAGGGGCAGATCCAGGGAGGGGTTGTTGCAGTTTCCAGTTACCTGTGGTAGCACTAATTAGAGGTGAACTGGAAGCAACAAATGTTTATGGGTTAAGTTTTGAAACTCAAATGGCTTTTTCTCCATTTATTAAGAATATAAACTATTGCACATTAACTGGGATATCACTGTAATTAACGCTATGAGCTGTGAGCGTTGATAGTGTATGAAGCTTGGGTATATCTAGCTTCTTAGAAGCACATATGAGTGGCTCAGAGACAGGAGTTGAACTGCGATGGCCGTCTACTGAATTGATGACTGCGGTCAAGGTGTGAGGGAACAGTGGGACTACATTGTCACATGTCCACTTGATGACTACTCACGGCTCATAGGAAAGTTACCGTGGGCAATGTAATTATATAAACCTAATGTATGTAACCCATATGTATATAAGTATTGCTGTTTGTTAGATAGGGGCTAATACATTGCTCGGCCACCACCCTCCGAGTTTTGCAAGGAGTAAACTAACCACTTAGTATAACATAACACCTATGGATGCCTATCCATGCTATAAAAGATAAAATGTGCTGTAGCTAAACTGAGGAATCTACAGCCGAGGGTTGAGAGTGAATTCCTAGCCTTAAATGCCTTATGTGTCAGGACTGTAACATGTACAATTTTAACTTTCAAAGACACATGTCAGTAATAACAAAACATACATAAAATTGATAAAATGAGACTGAAAGTTGGTACAAAAAACTGGGGATCACAAAAACCCAAAGAAAAATAATATCTACAAATGAAGAAGTTTGTGTTTCATTGAGATAAGTCAATAATGTTCAATTGTCAAACACTAGATTGAGTTTGCTGGGAGCAATATTAACATTTAAAGAATAAAGATATCAGACCTGAAGTGAAACTCAAATGAAATGCAAAAAAAAAGCCGTTTTTCTAAAAAACAGTTATTGTGATGTAGTCCAGAATGCAACGCCTAGCTTATACCTAGGTATGTTAATGCCTAGCAATAACTCGCCAGGCCAACATACAGGCAATTAAAACATCTAATAATTACTTAATAAGTAATATTAGGAGGACACGTCGCTACCTGGCATTTAATTGCAATTCTCAAACCCCCTCCCTCACCCCCCATCATACGCACTGCCACCGTCATCTCTTGCCTTAGAGCGAGCAGTAAAACAAAGTCAACTCTCGAGGGGTGGAGATGGGTGGGCTATCGGCGTCGAATTCTGGACAATATCACAATTTTTTTTTTTTTAGAAAAAAACGGCTTTTTGTTCAATCCAGAATGCAACGCCTAGCTTGAATACCCGAGCAGGAGGTGGAGAGGGAGGTGACGTTGCATACAAGGCTACGCTAGCTTAGGTCCAGATTATGATTATAAAGCGTTTGGAATATTTCCAATATTAGGAACATTTACTGGAAAGTAAAATGTTAATTTACATATCTTAATGAGGATACTCACTTTATTCTGATGAGGAAGAAGGTCCTGGTTGTGGAGATTGACTAAGTGGGGGAGGGGACCCCAGCACCACCACATGTGAAGCATCTTTCAGAGATAGATGAAGATAGCTGTCTTTGAAAGTTTTTGAAGATCTCCAAAAGCCCATTTCCTTGATCTGACTGAGGCTCATATGCCGCAGAAAGGCCACAGACCCTGCGTATTTCCTGGTGTCATGTGCCAAAAATTTCTTGCCAGGGTCTGCTTGATTCACTAACTGGGATAAAGATTTTGTCATTTGACTAGGAGACAATTTCTTACCATCCCTGGATGAGAAAACATAGGGGCCTTGATTAGGGAATCTGGTTAACCGTTCCTGAAGATTTTTAACTGGGCGCAATATATGAGGAACCCTTGTCTCATCCATTAGGCGTTTTATCCTAATAGGTTGAGCTTGAAAATCTTCCCTTTCATTTTTTCTTAGGATCTCCGTAGGAAAAAGGGTGACGTCCTCCTCAGAAAATACCAATAATGATAGATTATTGGAAATTGAAATTAGTTCACTGATTCTCATACCTGTTGCTATTGCTAGAAGGAAGGCTGCCTTTTGGAGTAATCTATCCCGGTTCAGATTTATATTGTAATTAGGCTCCATAAGAAATTTAGTAACTTTTTCTAGAGACCAAGGTGGGATTCTTTTAGGCAGAGGGGGGTTTCTGAATTAAAAAGGACGATCTGAGCATGTGATAAATCCTTGGGTTCAAAGTAATATTAAAACCCCAAGCCAGAGGGTCAACCAATGCTGATTTATAAGATGCAATTGTCGATCCTTGAAGGCCTTTAACTCTGAACAGAAATTCTAAAAATCTTAACACAGCTGTTTCCGACAATGTGTCTGGAGTCGTTAACTTGATAAATTGTTAAAAAAGTTTCCAAGCTTTCTCATATTGCATAGAAGTTTGGGGTCTATGACCTGCTGGTTTGTTGTGCGCCCATCAGATACGTGAGTCGGCTACAAGGCATCAGTTGGGCTTTGAAAACAGTCGGGAGAGCATCTATTTTGTTGGTGTCTTGAATATTTTTGCATTTTTCATTGAAATTATAGGTCATTCTGAACTTTAGTTAACATATTGATAATATATCGCGCAGTGCAGTGTTGATTTAAAGAAAATAATCTTGAATTACACCTAGTGAATTTAAAATTTTATTGGTGAAATGAGGCATGAAGCATGGGTCCAAAAAAGGTAATTTTTCCTCCATACCACTTCCTTCTTTTCTCCCTTCTCCTCCACCCCACTTCTAATTCCCATCATCATCATCAACCAGGAGCCTTCTACATACACACCTCAAAGTAAGTGTACTTTACTGCATTTTTTTTTTTTTTTTTTACTTTGTATGTACTTTTCGGTGAGCTGGAACCAATTACCCAATATCCCATTGAAACAATGGATTCGGTTAACAAAATTTTCGGTTAACGAACGACCTTCTGGAACGAATGGTGTTCATTAACCGAGGGACCACTGTAATTATTAGATGTTTTAATTGCCTGTATGTGGCCTGGCGAGTTATTGCTAGGCATTAACATACCTAGGTATAAGCTAGGCGTCACATTCTGGATTGAACAAAAAATGATGTGTTGGCAAGGTTATGACAGCATTACTGTTGAGGTCACAATAGTCTGAAGCCATATACAGTAATAAAATAATGAGCTTGTACTACGAAGTACTTACCACCATCCTGGCATAATAAAATGACACTGGGTTGTTCAAGAAAAAAATCACATGGTATGAAGATTGCATGAAACACCATATTCGTGGAACTTGATGTATAAACACTTTGTGTAGGCACTGTGCGACCAGTCGTTTGTATGAGTGCCAGTTCGCATATTCCTTCTCAGCAGGAATAATGTTACTGCGTAGGCCGGACATACTGTACACACAAATACTATAGATATAGTGATTTACACTGTGATGCCACCTTAGGAACAGCCATTACTAAAACAAATGAGAAGTGATCAGGCACTACTAATGTTCAATTCATTTGCCCAGAATCACAAGTGTGTCATTATACATATTGGGAAAGGTTCCATTTGTCATGCGGTGAGAACATTGGACTTTGAATAACAATAGAAGTACAGTTTATGGTAGCATTACTTGTAGTTAAAGGAGAAAAAAAATCACAGAATTGCAGCATGCAAATTAAGGGTTAAATAAAGAGTGTGTACAAGCAAGAGGTGGGCATCCATGCGGCTTAAACCTGTATTAATTAAAGCAGCAATGAGCTTGTCATTGGTATTAATATTCTTCAACGAGCTTGTCTCTGGTAATAATGTTCTTCAAGCGCTTGTCCTTGGTATTAATTTTCTTCAAGAGCGAGGTGCTTCCCCATCTAGAGTACTGTCACTTGATTGAAAATGTCCAAAGGAGGGCCACCAGACTGGTGCCTGCACTTTGGCACCTCAGCAACCCTTTGAGATTAGAGCGCCTGAAATTGCTTAAACTACAGACGGGCGAGGGGCGATCTAATTGAGTTGTATAAACATTTCCAAGGGCACTACTCAGTCGAGTGTCCTTACCTGGAGCTGGCGGATGCTCGCCCCACAAGGGGTCTCAGCTCAAGGAGTGAGAGTTGTGAACTCTTGGAGCAACCTGTCAGAGAGTATTGTGACGGCACCAAATGTGAGCTCTTTCAAGATAAGTCTTGACCGGCACTGGAGCAGGTTCAGATACATTCAGGAGCCAGTGCATGATCAGTACTTGCCAACAGTGCATAACAGAGATGTGACCTATCACTCCAGCAGTTAATGAGTCGTTCAGTGGTGAAGAGGATAAAAGTAAAAGACGTGTTTGCGGTTTGAGCAGATGTGTCTGGGATATTGTCTACATCCCAGGGGAGTGACTCTGGGTGTACCTTTTTAAGTCAGTCTATGGGTGTACCTTTTTAAGTCTGTCTACATGTACTAAGTCTGAGGTTTGTGTTTGATTTCAAAATTTTTAATTTGTTGCCAGTTTCCTTGGCGGTAATCAGGAACAGACTTGAAAATTTGGGCACAAGTTTGGCGATCCTTTTCAGGTTTTCTAACCATGACAGCGTCGCCTATTTCTAGTGTTATAGGCTTAACCTGTTTGTGTTGCTTATAAATCATTTCTGCTCGTGACGCTGCTAAATGCTTCCATACGTGATCATGAATGTCTGTGAAGACGCTGATTTGCTTTGTAGCAAAACCGTCCACGCTGTAGACAGGGTGAAGTTTGCCTGTAAGTACATCATAGGGCAGACGTTTGTCTATGCCATATACAATATAGTAGGGTGATGTGCCCGTGGAGGTATTGATCGACCTGTTATTAGAGGTTGTGACCTGAGGTAACCCATCCTACCATGCATTGAGCATTGGGTTTACAAGATGCACAGATTCCATGTCCTACAACCATTGATAGGGTGTATAGTTTTCTTGATTTATCAGGATATTATCGTTCTTTTATAAGATGATATGCGACATTAGCATCAAAGCTGACTTAATTTCTCAAGAAGGATGCC